CGGGTCTGAGGGCTGGGGGGGCGGGTCTGAGGGCTGGGGGGGGTGGGTCTGAGGGCTGGAGGGATCTCTGGGCTGGGGGGATCTCTGGGCTGGGGGGATCTGTGGGCTGGGGGGATCTGTGCATGTGGACGTGGTGTAATGCTCTGTGGGGCCTGAGGCGGTGGGCGAGAACGCGTGAGGCGGCCGCGGGCGGAGCCCGTGAGGGGCCGGGTATGGCGAGTACGGCCGGACCTGCAGAACCTCGAGCCGGAACCGCGAGGGCCTGGTCGAGGCGGGCACCTCGAGCCGTCCTGAGGTGCTCCCGACCAGCCCTGGGCCGGGCGGGATGTGTGCAGGAATCCCAGCTGGCCCGGACAGGGCTGCCGAGAATTACTACAGCATCACCTGTGTGGGCCGGTACGGACAGGCAAGCACCAGACTTGTGGCTGAGTGCGGTAAGGGAGGCCAAACTACGACTTGCTACCTGAGGTTTACCCTGTTTTCTAGTACTTGATGACAGCAGCCTCAGTATTCTGATATTACCTGCCAGTTCTCACAACACTAGGTTATAGCCTTGCGTGGCCAAACTAGATATTAAGGTGCCAAGCTTTGGCAGACACTTTTAACACTGTAGTTTACTACTGGACACAAACGAGTCTGGAATGGAGAACAGAAAAACATATTGGTTACATGTGTCTTTTCATCACCTTCATTGCAATGTTAGTCTCCTTCAAGAAATTTCCTCCTACGGCGACTTGTGTTGGTTTTATTGTGACTCAGCCTTCTGCAGCCATCGCCTGCTGTTTTTCAGCCTGACTCCTCGCTTTGTTCCAGCATGTTGGATTGTTCCACGGGATGCCAGTGCAGCACAACAGCACCTTGAACCATGTGTAATGCTGTGAGCAAGGGCACTGTCACCTTGTTCTTTGTCCTGTGGCATTCCCAAGTCTTCTGTAGTATTCTTGTTTGCTCCTAAGGACACCCGCGTTGATTTAGCGCTCAAGGAATGGGATTCTTGGAGCACTAAGGAATTTTTCTGAAACTGCTCCAAATTTCACTTCATGGTTCTGTTTCTTGCTTCTACAGTCAGTTTTATGGTGGGCCAGGGAAAAGACAGGAAGTTAAGAGGGCAAAGATGAGCACTAACATCCATTCACTATTTATAGAGATGACAGCAAGCATCCTTTGCTGGCTTTGCTCTTTTATGGATAAGGAGCATGGTTGTGGTGATATTGCCCATTGTAAACCAGCACCTGTGATATAAATACACACACACACACACACAAAGGAAAAGCACAGCAATACCTGTCAGACAGCACTAAGTGCTTATATGTGCTCTCATTTTAAAGAATTCTGGACCGTGCTCCCAACTTTTATTCTCCCCCAGTGGAACCTGGAACAGCCACATCCATCACACCCTGATGTGCACACTAAGCAGGGAAAGGTTTTTGCTACAGGTCACTGATAGTCTGGGAACAGTTTCTCAGAGAAGCTGTGGCTGCCCCATCCCTGGAAATGTCCAAGGCCAGGTTGGATGGGGCATGGAGCCACATGGATAACCTGGGATAGTGGAAGGTGTCCCTGCCCATGGCTGGAGGTTGGAATGACATGGGTTTTAAAGTCTCTTCCAGCTCAAACCATCCTGTGATTCTACCACTCCACAGCATTCCTGGTTTGTCATGTATCATCCCACGATGATTCCTTCCCAAGGAAGGTTTCTCCCTGTACAAGCAATACCACGGCTTGCCAGGAGGTGTTGCTTTGAAACCATGCAAATATCAGAGCTCAAAAGTCATGAGATAGGCTTGTATTTTTAAAAGTAACCAACACACTTTGTTCTGTCAGGGAAAAACCAAGGTCCTACCTTTGAAATGGCGATTTTTGTTTAAGACAATTTAGATCTTAAATGCCGAGTGTGATACAGAGTGAGATAAATACAGAACAGACAATCCATTTGGTGGGAATTGCTGGGAGTTTGTACATTGCTAACATATCTGTCAGACCAGCTTTGTGTGCAAAATTGCTCATGGCTTTGCTGTTGCAGGGCTGGATGCTATAATATACATAAATACAGACCAGGTTTGATGCAATGGGGAGCTTTAGAGGGATAATCCTGGGTTTCAAGAAGCCAAGGAGCAGAATAAAGCCTCAGTAAGACAAAAGTCCTTCAAGCCCAGTTGGACAGGGCTTGGAGCAATCTGGTGGAAGGTGTCCCTGGCCATGTCAGGGTATGGAATGAGATGAGCTCTAAGGTCCCTTTCAACCCAAACCAGTCTGTGATTCCATGCTAAAGTCGTGCTCACAGGGCTTTGTCATTGCTCTCCACACCTGCACACACGTATTTTAAACAAAAATGAGCTGTTTATTTCTAAGGGGGAATGCAGAGTTGGATATACAGCTGTTATCCACCTGCATACTAGGTTTTAAGTTATTGAATATATTAACAGGGGCAAAGTTAACTATGCGTTTAATTATGCCCAGCCTAACTTCCCAAGACAAAACAGGAAGCAGAGAATCCAAGACATTTAAAACCTATTTTTTACTACAGAAAAAAAAAGGTACCCTCAAAGGATACCCAGCTAGGACAAAAAGGTTTTTAAATATGTCTTTATCACATCAAGCTGAAACAACCTTCACGGCTGAAAGAAGCTGTGGCTCTTCAGCAGAAATTTAAACTCTGAAATAGGATGATATTCCATGGCCCACAATGTGCCTTGCTGTGTCATTGTAGTTATCACACTTGCTCCAGCTGTGCCTTTGTGAGAGCTCCCTGTGCCAGCCCTGAGGCACTGAACTCCAGCTCACTGAGGCTCTGGGAGACTGGGTTTTGGGGACAGTTTGGAAAAGGAACTTAAAGTTATCAGAGGACACCTCCTAAGGGTGTGATAACCAAAGGAGACTTGGAAAACTATTTTGTGATCAAATGTTTACCAGTATTGGCTTTTACCACACATGAAAGGACCAGACAAAGGTTACAAAGGTTCAACAGCAATTTTTACAGCAGATAATTCTTAAGGGGAGAAAAACTAAAAATTAAAAACCGTAGCTATAAAAGAGAAAGCAGAAAATGGTGTTTGTTGGATTTAGCTGGCCATCCAAGCTGTCATTTCAACAGCAAGGTGTAATTCAGGCCTGAAGTTTAGACTAGCTGATGACAAGAACCAGTAAATTTTCAGAGTTCCTGCCCCTCTCAGCACTGTGGCTGTGAGCTTTACCACAAATCTCCTCTCAGATTGCACAGTACAACTGTCCATGTTCTTCAGAGGCTGTTCCCACAGAAATACTCTACTCCTCCAGCTGGGACATTACTGCACTCACCTTTTCCAGTGTCTCTGGGTGCAGAAATGGACAGGGTTTGTCCAGCTGCCAAAAAAAGCATTTTCCAGGATTTTTTTATTCATTGTAAATAAGATTAGAGCAAATCAAGCTGCCTCTTCTGGAGTACCTTGCAGCACTGATACACTGGAAGAAAAATTAAGCTGAGGCTCCTAGAAATAAAGCACTTGTTTTTATCATTCAGCACTTCTTGCACAAGCTGATGATCACAGGGGGCTGTAGGAATTTGTGTTGCTCCAGTTCAGAAAGAAGCAGGAGTCTTTCCTCTACTGTGATGCTTTCTGAAGGGTTTGGAAGACAAAGCACAACATTCACATCCATTAAAATCTGTCCTTTGGTGAATACTCTCATTCCCACTTCTAGTATTGGAGTTTCTAAGGGTTTGCTATTCCTGTCTTAGAAGCCTTTTTCTAGAGGTGGGTGCTAGGTGTATTTTCTGGGCATTATTCTCTAATGTATGGTGAAAAGACCAGTAACCAGAGGGATCTGGAATAGTGAGATCTCTTTTCTTTTGGCAGGCCTAGGGCTAGAGAAAGCTGCCACCTTGTCCTGTGGTTCCATGGCCCACAGCTGCTTTCCAGTGAAGCACAAACTGCCAGGCAGCCCCTGCACAGCTTTAGAACAGCAGGGCTGACAGAGACCTGCACAACCTCTTGGGGAACCACACAAAAGCTACAGGAACAAACTGGACCATCCTGATAACATTTTGCCAAGATGAGGTGCACTGACAGGCTCTGCAACCTGTACCCTTCCCATGTGCAAGATCGGCTCAGATGTAGCAGAACTGCACAGCCTTGGGTCTGATTTATGTGAAAAAAGCAATGCTGGGAGAGGAAAACACAGGCAGAAGCATAACTGGGGCCTATGTCATGCACTTATCTTTCCCCATTGGTTTGGGAGCTGGATTTAAGCTCAGGCCTTTGCCCTTGGTCATTGCACAACTTCCAAGGCTTAGTATTTCTCTGCTGTATACACTGAAATGCTTTTCTTCTTCTCACTACCAAACTCCATTCATCTTGAAGGGAAAAGGGAAAAGAAGACAGGCACAAGGCCTACAACCTTAAATATTACTTGAACTTTTCCATGACAATGTAGAAATTTGTTTTGGGGTTTCTTTCCTATGAGCTCTCTTTTCCCAAACACTGCTTTCTTCTGATTTTATTAGGGCTTGAAATGGGGCTGTTTTATCACAACTAGAGCAGTTATATTATTAAAGGACAAGTAGATCAGACCTGTAAATTATAAACACAAAGTACAAGTTAGAGTGATCTTTGGTTTCATTCTGGTTAATAAAAATTCAGCAGACCAGCTAGCTCTCCAAGGCATCACTTGGACCATTTTTATTAACTCCCAGAACATGGAGCTTTACAAGCAAATGCCAGAGTATTACTG